TCTTGCAGGGCCCTTTGAACCAGCTGGTAACTCCTGAAACTTCCGCTTTTGTGGAAGCCATTGCTCCTTCTCTAAAGTAGAGCTAGCATTTGATTTGGATACTGTGCTGGAAACTGAGGTTGTAGGAACACCCATGCTTGATACGGATGTTGCAGGTACAACACTAGAGGAGATTGGAGATGATTGTCTAAGAGCTAATGCTACCTGTTGTAATGGTGTGGCTTGGGGGTATATCCCACCATATCCGCTATAGCTTGTCCCTCTAGACCCTAAAGGCTGTGGATAACCAACTGCATTTGCCTGGATTGGCCCAGAGTTAGGCATTCCCTCAACCATCCCTTGAGAATTGCCAGTAGTGATCGCAACAGGTGGAGCTGGTGTAGTGACTGCCATTGATGTCAAACCAGCAGCTGAACTAGCATTTACATTTTGTTCACTCCCAGAACTTTGAACTCCAGTCAACAACTGCTGTGGAGGCGGAACTGCACCATAGACTTTACTACATGAAGTCCTAAAATGGTTGGAAAGAAACAAGTTACCCCAGTCCAAAATAAAAACAACCAGACTTTAAATAACAGAGAGATTACAATTTACAATCACCACTCAACAGAATAGAAACCAGCTTACCTGGATGCACCAAATTCTACACTGATAGTGTCCAGGAGATTCTCTGCCAAACGCTTAGCATCATCAAGACTTTTAGGATTATTACTGGATAAGAATAAGTGCAGTGATTGTGGTGTTTCTGCAACCAGTACAAGGCCAGATAAACCATAATTGTTTAAGAAAGAAATCTAAAATAACAGCACAAATCATTAGGTTTACCCAAAAATAAAGAAGGAAAAGAAAAAAGAGGTTGCATTATGCACTGCAAAAACTACCTTCACCCTGCAGGCTCTCAAAGTTTCCAGAACCATGCCCTCTTAGTATGACTGTTGCTCCTGTTTCATTCATAATGTGATTTATATACTGGTCCTGCAAGTACAAAACCAAGCCACCACCAACACAAAAACATGCTCTCCCAGTTGCATGGAGATGTCAGAGAAAGCTCCAAACATTAGAATCTCTCATCTCAAAAATATACATTACAAACTTTAAATAAACTAATGCAACAAAATACTTGAACAAGTAAATGGGTACAACACATACGAGAAATGCCAGATACATGCTGATGCAGTAGAAAGACAATTTGAGCTGAGGGGGTTGTTTAGGGTAGGTAGAATGGGACCATAGTCCACATCCTTGACATCAGATAGTGATTTTCTTTTAATTATGCAAGAAGGTATCACCATCTAATTATACAATCTAAGTCATAGGATAAAATAGCAGTTCTAGCTCTCTGATAATTATAAGCACAGATAGAACTAAATTAATCAGGTAAAAAAATAACAGCAAGATAATATATGGATCAAGAGAAACGTACTATCCATTCAAGGATTAGTAAAAGTGAAAAATTGAAAAGAAAAAAAATGAAAATCTCACATTTGGTCCTCGAATACGAGCAGCAACATTCAATGATGGGTCTGCATCAAAGCCCAAATATACACATGTGCTAAGTACCTGAGAAACCAGATTCAGTTAAAGATTCACCCCATAATTAATTATCTGAATCACATAGTTCACATGATAGGAATTGCAGTGCAAGTATACCTTCACACTGTTGCTCATAGCGGCCATAAAAGAAGAAGAACCTGTCTGTGAGCTCTGACCATGTTTCAACATTTCTTCAACCATTGCAGATGCACGATCTACAGCTAAAATCCGCTCTGCTGTCTCTTTTAACTGCAGTGGTAATTAAACAAGCTTTGTAAATCTTTGTTTTTAAACAGATCAAATATTTGGCTTCTAACATAGTTTTTGTTACTTTTTTTATTTTTACGCTAAGCAAAAGCTCAGACAAGAAGAAAGAAAAAACATTCAATTTCCAGTACAGATATAACAAATTCACCATTAATGCTCTATAAGGATGAACAAGTAACACTTACATGAGCACCAGCGGATATGTGAAGATAGAGAGGCTTTTCACCATCAGGCGGAGCATTTGGTGGGCGATATTTTCCCCTGCACACCAATTAAGCCAAAGCGTTAAAAAGGAAGAACAAAAAAAGATACTTGCTCAAAAGCTTCAGCACATCCGTTTAATGACAATCACCTAGTTATCACCACAGCACCAGTGCACCTTTGAATCTGAAAGATTATCAAAATAATTTACCAACATTGAATAAACAAAAGAATTATTTCCCCAATTTTAACAACAAGAAACCGTTTTTTCCATCTATTCAAAGAAACACAGATTACCTCTTCCTGTGTCTGGCGTTTAGTGAGCTTGTAGCGAATAGAAGATTCCGCATCATTTATTACAATTTCCCGGGCAATTACCAACTCATCCTGGATCTTAGGCTAAATCAATGTAACAAACAAAATACACGATCAGACTTTACAGTTAACAAATTTGTAAGTATGCAGGAAAAAGCAGTTTAGCATATTTCTATACAAACATATCATCAAAAAGCAAAAATATGTCAATGCCATGCACATAGGAGTTCTTTCGGGTAGCCTGTGATAAAAAAACAAAGGCCCAGAGCCGCCTTGATTTGATGAACATTCCACATATGAAACCATCCAGGCAGAAATATCCATAAGTAACAAACTACCGGCAATTACAAAGAAAGGGAAGAAACATCTTGCACACATTCTTACACTAACAATATTTGGCCCGTACATATTAGACTAAATTCAAAAATAATGATATAGCTTAGGCAATCAAGTAACATCCATAACCCTCTCACCAACTTGCTTAAATGCTATTGTAAATCAGGTAGATCAGACAAACTGAACTTACAAATGTACAAACCATCATTTCAAGTACTAATTATTAGCAATAAACATTAACATATGAAAGAACTAAACCACATCTAAAGATAAATATTTGCAAATAGTTCTTATTTTAGATGAGATTCACAAAACAAAGAAAATGGTAACAGAACAAACTATTGCCATCATCCTTGAGCCTCATATACATGTCAGGTGACAATGTGTTTGGTTTGTGCAAAAGCCATCATCTAAACTTATCATACTTGATTTTGTTTTGGTACCACTGCAGCAGCATGCTGTTGGAACACAGGGCTAACAGCTGTACAACTAGCAGCAAGTGGATTCGACAAAAAGGTGCCTGTGACTGGGGATACACCAGGAAGTGGAATGCCACCAAGAGTTCCCAAGTTGCTGAATGGGGCAGCAAATCCAGCCGAAACCAAAGCCTCTGCAGGCTGATCCCACTTTCTCTTTTTTCTGAATAATATTCCAGCTATTAAAAATTGTAACCACCAAGCAAGCATAAATCTACTATACAACAATTAGACAACCACGAATAGAGATTACAAACTTTGTTCAGAAACAACTTTTTATGAGATTTATGCTAATTGTAGGAATAAATGTAGCAAATTCACTAAAAATTCAATAATACACATTTCATAATCAAAATCCTTACTCTAAAATGTAAGTTCGGAAAGGTAGCCAGTAAAAACCTGGATGCACAATCATGACACAACAACAACCTAGTATTGACGATTTCGATATAATCTTTTATCCAAGCTTGCATTGCATGTATGCTCTAGCGCTTGCTTATCGAGAGACAATAACTCGGTCCAACTAGGTTTTTTGTTTTTTGAACCTTTCTAATTATCATTAAATTTAGAGCTCAATTACGCACAAAATTTAAATACTTCAATATATTCCACCGGAAAATGACAATATTTTTCTTCTTTTAAGTTGATTGTTTTTTACTCTAATCAATCAATTCAAATGCTATAAAGTTCAACAAACTTCTTTTGATCAATTCCCAAAAAAAAAGATAGAACTTTTGAATTTAAGAACTTAAGAAGAATAATCACGAAACAATTAAGGTTTAAGAATCGAAACTTAGGACAAAAACGAAATTGGATACCTTTGCCTTGTTTGCGAAGCATCGTTGGTTACAGACGGGTCATTGGAAGAAACCCTAGCGCCACCGTCCTCCGTCATCTCTTTCTAGAAATTTCAAAATTTGGAGAAAAAAAATCAAATCAGTTTTTTTTTCCTTTATACAATTATTATAATTATAAAAAACAGATTTTTTTTTCTGGAATTTGGTTTTGATTGTGGCGTCAAACTGGGAGCCTTTCGGCCTTTTTCCAGATACGGGGAAGTTCGGAGCTTTCGCGGAGAATTGAGAATGGATGGGCACGTGCGAACTGATGTCCATGCTCGATGGGGTCACAAAGTCACGTGCACCACCTTATCAAAATAAAAAAAAATAAAAAAACTCGATTTTATCAAATATGTTATTAACTAGAAATTGGTACAGTTTTTTATTATTTAACTATTATCGATTAAATTTTTTTATATTTATTTTTTAAATCAATATTTTACCTACATAGATTTGACATCTCTAACACTCTTGTTGGAAAGTGAAAAAGGCCCATGTATATTCTATTCTAGGTTTTCAACGTTTTCCTCAGCTTCGAAAGGATAAAATATAAAAGTGAATGTGAAAACATTAAAAAATTAAAGTAAAATATTTTTATTTTTTAAATTTTAAACAAAATTTTAAATATATTTATTAATTTTTTAAATAAAAACTTTATCTTAAAAAATATCAAAGGCTAACTATTAATTAATTATTAATATTTTTATTAATTTGATAATATGATAATATTAAAAAATAATTTTATTTTTTATTAATTTTAAAATTATAATTATATAATTTTTTTACAAAAAAAACCAAAAGAGCATCTAGTGCTTCTCAAGAGCTTGGAATTTTTTAAAAAAAATTTATATAATTATAATTTTAAAATTAATAAAAATATATTTTTTAATTTTTTTCTATTTTTTGTTAAGAGTATTTATGTTTTTTAAGTGAACTGTCAATTTCTAATACTAATAAATTTACTAAAAATTATATATAAAAATTAAAAAGGTGAGATATTTTATTTAAAAATTAAAATAAAATACTTTTACGTTTTTAAGTTTTAATTAAAATTATATGAAAATCTATTAATTTTCAAAATAAATATTTTGTTCTAAAAATACAAACACTATTAAGAGAAGTTACAAAAAAACTAAAATACTTTTTTTATTAATTTAAAAAATTATTATTATATTTAAAAATAAAAAAAATAAATAATATCCAACTCACTAAGAAAAGGAAACACTGGTCGAGGCTCCCAAAGGACCAATGCCCCCTTTAGGGAGCCCCAAATTGAGCTCTTTAAAGGAGCACCAATGCTCCTCTAGGGTGCCCTATCGAGGCTCCCAAGGGAGCACCTGGTGCTCCGCAGATAGGGAGCTCAGTGCTCCCTTAAGGAGCTCAATCGGGGCTCCCCAGGGGAGCTTCGGTGCTTCCACATGGGGAGCTTTGTTTTTAATTAGTAACAAATGATAAAAGATAATATAAAAATATAATAATAATTATAAAAATTAATTAAAAACAAAATTACCTTTTTATTTTTATTATATCAGTAAATTAATAATTAATTAATAATTAAATTTAAATGTCTAATAAAAAATATTTTTTAAAAATAAATTTTTTATTTTAAACATTAATAAATTTACATATAATTTTGATCAAAATTTAAAATAATAAAAATATTTTACACTAAAAATAAAGTTGACGGAATTAAACTTGATCATCTAGAAAAATTATCTTCGCCCTTTAACAACCTTAACACAATATTCAAAAATATATCTTCCACCCAACCCTCCCCTCCCTAACCTTAACTTAACCGTCCTCGACCTTCCCTCCTCCCTCCCTCAGCCTTTCCTCCTCCCTTGATCAGTTCCCTTGACCCTCCCAACTTTACAAACTCTCGAATATATTTAACTATCTACTTTCGTTAAGTACAAAATACAATTAAACATTAACTTTATTATATCTTTAAAGTTATTTGTATTATTCTCCTTTACTTACTAAGCAATAGAGTTAAAATAAATTTTAAATATAACGTAGCTCGCTCGAAGTCAATTTTGTCATTGCTTGAATACCTTCAAAAACCCCATTTGCACCAACATCACATATTGCCAAACGCAGTGGGCTAGCCATTTGTCCACTGCTAATAGAGATGCCTGGAAAATAGCCTTCTCTTCCCATGGCTATAAAAAACCGCGAGAGAAGCACAGTTGAACAGGGAGCAAAAAAGAGTTTTTTAGTTCTAGAAACCCAAAAAAAAAAGAAAACAAAAAATCTCTAGTTTCTAGCAGCCGATATTATACCCAAAGATCTTTAAAAAAAGCATCCAAAAAAATCAAAAATAAAAAGGAAAATTAAAAACTATTCTCGAGAGAGGGATTTATTTAGGGCTTCTGTGATTCAGGAAGAAAAGAGGAGTTTAGTAAGGAGAGATAAATGGAAGAGAAAAAAAATAGGGAGAAAATGGCGTTCGAATGGAGGAGGCGCTTAGGTTTTGTGGAAGAAAAGAGGGGAAGGCGGTGGAGAGAGAAAATGAGTTGGAAAAATGAAAGCGTCCGTTGAAAAGGGGGTTTTACAGCAGCTTCAAAAGGCCGAAGCATCAAAACGACACCGTTTAAGGAGTTTTTTAACAAAAGAACAAGATGCCAAAACTGCACCAAACAGTGTGTTGCAAGGGAGTGGAGGAAGATCTGAAACGGGTTGGGCTCAGCCCGTTTGGTTCCACCACAAGGCTATTCTGCTTGGGTCAATTTGATCCCAATCTATGTATGAGCTCTCTTTTTCTTTTAGGCTGTTGATTTGGGCTCTGATTATTGAAATTTTTGAGGTTTTTTGCATGCTGTCAGGCCTAATACATCTCAAAAAATATAGAAATAAAAGTATATGTTTCATAGATTAAGGAAAAATCTAAAAATATTTATTTTTATTGTTATAGCTATTAGGATGATGGAAACAGTAAATTATTAAAAAAAGAAGACAAAAAGATAATGTTTAGTTATACCAAATATGTTCAGGTAGGAAAAAAATGGAAATAGATAGAGTATTTAGGTATATAAAATATATTTAGGTAGAAATAATGATTAAATAGCTAGTCATATAAAATACATATATAGGTATAACTAATAACAAAATATTTAGTTATACAAAATTTATATAGCTATATAAAAGAAAAAGAGATATGATAAAAAAATTAAATTAAAATATGTCTAATAAAATGAAATGTTCAAAGGTTTATAAAATAGTTAATTATTAAAATATAACTAGATGTACATAAAAAGAAAAGAAAAGAGAAGTATGATAAAAATAAAAAATTCTAAACATAAAAACATAGAATGGTTTTTTGGAGTTAACCCAATGATGGAATTTCATCCGGGAATGTGAAGAGTCGCATTTTCAAAATAACTTTCCGAAGTACAAAATTCGATTAGGGTTTTCACTAAAGCGTCATGATAAACTTTAATCTTATATCCTAATATCTCGTTAATTCAATTAGTCATCTTAAGTATTTGAAGGAATAAATTCATAGAATATTTTATTTAAAATTAAAATAGTATAGTTATTAATTAATTAAAAAATTATTACAAATAAAAAAATTAATGGAATCAAGTTTTTCAATAAAAAAAGTTTTAAATAATAATAATAATAATAATAAATCATCGATTTAAATAAAACATTCTTAAAAAATATGTGGTAAGAATAAGAGAAGTAGTTAATTATATTAAAATATTAAATATATTACCATAAAAATTGGAATCAAAGAAATTATTTTATAAATGCGTACCATTCATGATTTTATCTTGACATGATACGTGACATATTTATTTTGCTAATGGGACAAGAACCCCTGATGATGGCATTTTTTTCAAAAGACTTATAGAGATGAGTTCTTTCGAGGATATCATTAGGCGAAAAAAAAGTCTAGAGTTCACCAAAGCGTTCGGATGGTCTACAAATAATTTTTTCGATACGTTATTTTTATTTCTTATTATTTAAAATTGATAAACCATGACATCATTTTATAATTGCATCATGTGCATCGATAAAGTCAAATAATTAAACTTTGGTTTAAAAAATAATAAAAACAAAACAAATAAGATGATAATAATAAGTTGGAAAGAAAGGTTAGAAAAAGAAAAACAAAACATGTAAAATCAAGAACAGAATAATGAACAATGATTAAGGAAACATAAGAATAAAATCAAAAGTTAAGATTAAAATAGAATAACATATGATTAAATAGTATTGTCATGGAAAGGATATCATGGGAGTGCTAATACCTTCCCCGTGCATAACCATACTCTTGAGCCTAACTCAAAATCTGCAAACCAGATTATTGTTCTCTAGACGAATTTAAAATCAATTTAGCACCTCATCAAATAGAACGAATTTAATAGATAGCCAATCACACCTAGATAAAAAAAATATTGGTGATGACTCCTAACCACTCTCAAATTTTTTCATGTTTAACGGTTAAGTTTCGAACCTGCATGACATAGTTAACAGCTAATTTAGGAGTTGTTGTGGATGATGGGAAGTTCATATCTTTTTGGCAAGATCCTTAGGCAGAGAATGTGGTTTTGAATATGAATTTTCATGGATCTTAGTATTGGCGGTACAAAAATGGCAGATTGAACTTAGAAGACAACTCTTTAGGTGAGAGTTCTAAAAATGGACAAGGATGCAGAGTCTTATCATAGAATTTACACTTGAAAAAAATTGTAAAGATAATATTATCTAGAAGCCTTTACCAAGTGGTAAGTTAACATCTACTTCTTTTTGTCATGTACCCTATACCCAGTATTCTGAAAATAAAGAATTACTGAAGAAAGTTTGGATTAGCTAGGCTCCTCACAAAGTAAAGGTATTTGTTTGGCAATTAACATCGTAAAGAATAACTGTTAAATTAGAGTTGGCCAAGTGAAAATTAATTGATGATCATGTATATTGTGTTTTGTGCAAAGCTAGTCCATAGACTGTTTCTCATCTCGTCTTTAACTAAGATGCGACATGAACAATATAGAATTTGTGGTGCTAGGATTGGGGGATTGAATGGGTCACTCATGAAAATCCTAGACATTTCTCTTTGGTATGGAGGTCCTTATGGGGATAATCAAGAAGTATGGATTGTTTGGACAATTTGACTTTTTTGTAATGAGATTGTTTTTAATAGAAAATTATGAGATATTTTACAAGTCTACGATCTCATTAAATTACGAGTGGCTACCTAGAGTAAAGCTAATTAGCCGAACATAGTTGAAACAATTGATGATGTGTTTACAATTGCTCATAG